CCGGGGCGCCCACTCTCCCGAGACGCGGCGAGGCCGGGCCGTCGGGGCCCGACTCCCGCACCCGCGCACGCAGGCCCGGCTTTCCCGCAGCGCCACGGCCCCAGCTCTCGGGCAGGCTCGGCTGTGTGAACAAGAGGTTCCAAACCCCGCGTTCCCAGAGCCCCCCTGAGAAGGGGTCCGAGGGAGTCTTCACTTTAGATTCAAGTAAGGCCCCACATGTAGTGGTTTGGGTCGAAACTCAATAATCGTAATAAATAATTAATAAAAATTTCGCTCCCCTCAAATCTTTCAGGGTGTGCATAGTCTTCTCCAGCTGCAAAATCCCTGATTGGGGAACACTGCCTTAAAAGAGATGATTCAAGACATCATTAGTGTTAAGGACCCTATAACACAAGAGGCCCAGTAAGATTGAAGGCCTTTGCTGAAACCGAACTGATAAATATCTCTTTTGAGTTTTTCCCAAGATTTATAACTTTTTAGATCCTCAGATGGTAATGCTTTCGTATAATGCAATGCTCAAATTTTGCAACTATTTTGATTTCTGAAAAATGCCTTTTTGGCTTCAGTGACATGAGATCCTGTTATTTTTTTCACAAATCAGTTTACATCATAAATTGCAAACATTTGCAATAAGATCTCAAGATTGTTTATTTTATGTAACCTCAAGCACTTGACTATGTTAAACACCAGTACAGAAAGTCTGCGAGATCAGTTTAATGTGTGTGAGGGAATTAAAGGATCACTCCTTTTCATCACATAAACAAAGCATTTAAGATTGTTTTGATTGTCAGTCTCCCAATTTTTAAACAGTCTTACAATTGACTATTAATTTTAGAGTCATTCTGTGCAAAAATAATTACTAAAGTTATATCCTGCTTTAATTAAATGTTTCTGGGCAGAAGAAAATTGTATTCTACATTGGGAAGTGGGTGATTGTTTTTAATGTTATATTATTTTAAATTATTTTAGTTCAAATGTAAATAAAGTCTGCTAATTCCAACCCAGGATAAAAGGCCCGAAATAGTTTTTTAATGTGCCGTTAGAACAGTTAGTCAAAGTACATTAAAGAAATGTCACAAACCCAGAAATAATAAATATGTCATTCTAATGAGAGTGTTAACTTATGGATAATTTATTCAAGGTAGTTTTTGCATTTCACATGGAATCTCTGATTATCACCTGCCTGAGTACTGTGATGCTTCTTCAAAATCTAATTTATATAGGTTCTGGATATACATAATTCATAGCTCTTGTTGATATATATATACACACCCCGAATTTTAAACATTTACAGTATGTTTGCATGTTTACTAGCATGTTTTCAAGATGACTGAAATAAAAACATAAAAAATGTTAAACATGATATTAAAAGCAAGTGCTTCTCTATGTGTGAAGACAAAATAGTTGAAAATTAAAAATTAAAAAGGGTTAGATAATTTTGAAGCTCAGATATAGAGTCAACACAGAAATATTTCAGACAGGGAATATTCTTGTATAACAAATATGAAAATCTCCAGGAAGGACTTACAGATGTGAGCTTCTAACACTTCTGATGCCTAGGCAATCCTTTCATGTCTCTAATTCATAAAACAAAAAATCCTCAAGTCTTAGGGTATTTTGTTTTGGGTAGTTTATGTGTCAGTCAAGGTAACCATCACATATGCCTTCAGTACAGGAAAATTTAGTATAGTACTTACATGGAGTTCTGCTGGCATGAGGAAAGGTTTTTGACTATAATCAAATAAATCACAGAGGGAGGAGTAAACATGCTTTTTTTCCCCCTTGTTGAACAACTGCTCACACATCCTGAGCAACGATCTTTGCAGATTTTTATTCAGGCAGAATAGTACAGAACGGGTTGAAGACATGGACTCTGGAGTAGACTTCCTGGATTCAAACCTTACTGCTGCCATTTACCAGTCCTGTGATTTGGATTGAGTTAATCTCTCTGTGCCTCAGTTTCCTCATCTGTATGATGGGGATAAAAATGGCATCTATTTCATGGGGGTTTTAGGAGGGTTAAATGAGTTAATATTTGTAAAGTCCAAAGAACAGTGCCTTGCACAGTTATATATAAGGACTATATGATATTTATTTTAATAAAAAGGTCAATAGGCCTTAATCCTTGTAATAAAAA